ACATCTCAAAGCGCTTCGCAGGAGAGAGGAGACAGCAGCGAGGAGAGAGGGGAGAGGAGAGAGCAGAGGGAAGGGAGGGGGAGAGGTAGGAGGGGAGAAGAGGGTGGTCTCCCAAGAACCCCTCCAAAGCGGGCCCCGATCATCCAGTGGCTGCCTGTTGCTCAGTCAGCGCAGTGACTGACACTGAGACACGCCAAGTTATCCCCAAGTACACACATCTGTATTAATACTATCCCTCGCAGACCATAAATCATTCAAATCCAGTTTCTAGGTACAGAAAGCAATCAGCGAGGCTAATGGAATCCAGGGCTTTATAGCGAGGGTCTGGAATATAAAGCCAGGAGGTCTCCTTCGGCCATGCACTGCAGATCGCCGCTCACACCTCATTTACAGTCATGCCCCATGTGTCATGTCCTCATGGGAGCCCTGTAGCTCAGTGGTTACAGCACTCGCCTCGCAAGCGAAAGGACCTGGGTTCGATTCCCGGGCAGGACGAAATCTTAGGCAAGTTTCCTTACTCCACACGCCTGGGCCTCTGTTTACTAGCAGTAAGTAGGAACCCGCTTGTTAGTCGATTGTCGGATGGGTTTTCCGGGGGTAATAATCCCTCCACAGAAACAAAATAATGTGGTCACTCAATCACCGACTGTTTGTGGGACGCTGCTGTGTGCAATCGGCCACCGCGTTTCATCCACAAAATACACAGTCACTACACTTTACTGTATATCCTATGAAGCACAAAGGATGATCGCTGTGAAGGGTCCTGGTTGAAGGTGGAGTGTCTCCATGCTAACCTGATCCTAATGTGGATTAGCAGGCGGTTTGGCTACTAAAGTCCCACAGTCTGACCTCGCAAACCCCGGCAAGGCTAAGGCTGACTCACTGGGAGCCCGACATCTCGTGTCAGGGATCTCTCCGCTATGTTCCTCCGTATCGTTGTAACCCGGCTTCTGCCGTCTGCTGCTCATACAATATTAACATAAACACTAATTACTGGGAGAGATGCTTATTGCTTTCCACATTTATTATATTTAAAATTATTGCGTTGGTCAATTGAGTTAAGCGCAGTTAAGCTGGGGCTGGGCTCACTGAGAATGCATTAAACAAGGCGTTGACTGCGAGGGATGAGCAGGAGCTGGTGCCAGTCGAGCGGAGGTGCCGGATGGTGGATTGGGGAGAGAGGAGGTCGGAAAGGGAGAGAGGTGCCAGAGAGTGAAGGGATTCGAACACGAGAGTGAGCATCTTGAAGTCAAACCCTAGAGTTGATCAATAAGGCCTCTCCGTCCTCCTTGGAAAGGGTGTGGGGTTATGGGCTGAGGGGGTGGGCTTGGGTTGGTGGGGGGACTTGGGGTGATCAATAAGGCCTCTCCTCCCCCTCCCCTGGATTCACACCCACAATCCGCCCACTCTGGGACCCACACAGGGAATAGTGGATGGACTGACGGACAAGTCATATATTGCCTTATCACGTCTTCGAGACGTCTCAAAGCGCTTCACAGGATATACTGTGAAGTGTAGTGACTGTTTATTTTGCGGGCAAAACACGGCAGCCAATGGCGCAGAGCGACATCCCTACAAATAGTCATGGATTGAGTGACCACATTATTGTTATTGTTTTTTTTTGGAGGGATTATTATCCCCGGAAAGTGATCAGCCAATCGACTAACAACGGGTTCCTGCTCACCGCTGGGTAAACAGAGGCGTGAGGAGTAAGGAAAGTTGCCTAAGGTTTCGATCCGCCCGGGAATTGAACCCAAGTCCTCTCACTTGCGAGGCGAGTGCTCTAACCACTGAGCTCCAGGACTCCACGCCAATTAGCTTTGAGACATTGTCGCGGTGTGGAAGGCGCCATGAAAAACACGAGGATTATTGTTTTTATTATTTCATCGACACTGAAAGGCACGGTTTGCCAGGCTCTGTGACTGCGCAAGTAGCAGATGTAAGAGCACTGGGAAACGGGGACAGAGGAGATGGATGGAGTAAGACAAGTCTATCAACTGAAGGAGAGAGATTCAGCCGAGAACCAACAAGATTATTGATTTAATTAGGAATCTGGAACATAGTCTACACACAGGCTCATCATCTCCCCGATAATTATCCCTCTCTCGGCTGCTGCGGGCTGTGTGTTGCTGACGGATTGTCAGTGCGGTTGGGAACACATGTTATGATGAAGGCAACAAGCTCACGGCTTTGCTACTGAGAGCGGAAGAGCTCTGGGCTGAGCACAAATGCAGAGCTGGGGTTGGGTGAGGGGCTGGGGCTTGGGGCGAAGTTGGGGCTGAGATTGTGGGTTGGGACTGGGGGCATGTGTGTATCTTGTGGGTGAAATGTGGGAGGGATAATTACCGGGGAGATGATGAGCCTGTGTGTAGACTATATTCCAGATGCCCAGAGCAATTGTCCCACAAACAGCTATGTGACCAATATTTGGGGGCGATTGTCGACCAGGATATTGGGAGAGAGAAACTCCCTCCTCTTTTCTAATAGCTCTGCGGGATCTTTAACATCCACCTGAACAAACGGGACCTCGGTTTAACATCTCCTTCCAAGGACAGCACCTCCCCTGACCCCCCCAGCGCTGTATTAGAGCATTAGCTTAGACTGTGTAATTCCAAGTCCTGACATGGGGCTCGAACCTACAACCTTCTGACTCAACAACGACAGCATTTGTATAGCACCTTTCACGTCGGGAGGACTCAGAGGCGAGAGAGAAAGAGCGAGCGAGCGCTACCCATTGAGCCAGGCTGCCACATGTAATGAATGTGTGGTACCTGTGATGTCAACCTGTCTCAGAAGCCTCACAGTAGTTCCTATCTAGTGTAGTGACTATGTATGTGTCGGCCACCGGCAGCCATTTTGCCCACAGCAAATAGACATGAAGAGAATGATTTACTTCTCGGGAGAACAAGCGCGGACGGACCTCAGTGTAACAGCACCTACAACATGACACCAACCTGCTACTCACACACGCCATTCGCAGTGGGGAGGGTGGCCCACAGCCCTGGCCTCGACAGGGAGGGGGGGGGATGTGGGCTGAGGGGTGGGGTTAGCAGGAGTGGGGCTGCGACGGGGGGGGGGGGGGGGGGTGGGGGGGGGGGGGGACGGGCTTGAGGGCGTGGGCCTGAGGGGGGGCTTTGTAGGGCAGATGACCAAAAGAGCTGATACTGATACCCCTGGGTGTGAGGCTGGGTGTGTATGTCGGTCCTGTGTGTGTCACTGTGTGTGTCAGACTGTGTGTGTGACTATGTGTCTGTGAGTGTGTGATACTGTGTGTCTGTGAGTGTGTGATACTGTGTGTCTGTGAGTGTGTGATACTGTGTGTCTGTGTGTGATACTATGTGTCTGTGAGTGTGTGATACTATGTGTCTGTGAGTGTGTGATACTATGTGTCTGTGAGTGTGTGATACTATGTGTCTGTGAGTGTGTGATACTATGTGTCTGTGAGTGTGTGATACTGTGTGTCTGTGTGTGATACTATGTGTCTGTGAGTGTGTGATACTATGTGTCTGTGAGTGTGTGATACTATGTGTCTGTGAGTGTGTGATACTGTGTGTGTGAGTGAAAGACGGGGCTGTGACACACGCTGTCAGTGGGGGGGGAGCGAGTGAGTGTGTGATACTGTGTGTGAGGCGCGGAGGCAGGAGCCGGAGTGTGTGTGTATGTGTGAGAAAGGTGGGGGGGTAAGGGGGGTGGTGTGTGAGGGAGGCGGGGGGGTTGTGAGGGAGGCGGGGGGGTTGTGAGGGAGGCGGGGGGGGTTGTGAGGGAGGCGGGGGGGTTGTGAGGGAGGCGGGGGGGTGTGAGGCGGGGGAGGGGTTGTGAGGTGGGGGGCGGGTTGTGAGGCGGGGGGGGGTTGTGAGGGAGGCTGGGGGGGGGTGTGAGGCGGGGGAGGGTTGTGAGGTGGGGCGGGGGTGGGGATTGTGAGGCGGGGGAGGGGTTGTGAGGCGGGGGGGGATTGTGAGGCGGGGGGGTGTGAGGCGGGGGGGGGTGAGGCGGGGGGGGGGGGTGTGAGGCGGGGGGGGGGTGTGAGGGAGCGGGGGGGCTGAGGCGGGGGGGGTGGGGTGGGAGCGGTGTGAGGGAGACGGGGGGTGTGAGGGAGACGGGGGGGGGGGGTTGTGAGGCGTGGGGGGGTTGTGAGGCGGGGGGGGGGTGTGAGGGAGGCGGGGGGGTGGGGGGTTGTGAGGGAGGCGGGGGGGTGGGGGGTGTGTGAGGGAGGCGGGGGGGGGGTTGTGAGGGAGGCGGGGGGTGGGGGTTGTGAGGCGTGGGGGGTTGTGAGGGAGGCGGGGGGGGTGTGAGGGAGGCGGGGGGGGGGGTTGTGAGGGAGGCGGAGGGGGGTTGTGAGGCGGGGGGTTGTGAGGGAGGCGGAGGGTTGGGGGTGTGTGAGGGAGGCGGGGGTGGGGGGTGTGTGAGGGAGGCGGGGGGGGTTTGTGAGGCGTGGGGGGGTTGTGAGGGAGGCGGGGGGGTGGGGGGTGTGTGAGGGAGGCGGGGGGGTGTGAGGGAGGCGGGGGGTTGGGGGGTTGTGAGGGAGGCGGGGGGGTGGGGGGTGTGTGAGGGAGGCGGGGGGGGGGGGGTGTGAGGGAGGCGGGGGGGGTGGGGGGGGTTGTGAGGGAGGCGGGGGGGGTGGAGGGAGGCGGGGGAGTGGGGGTGTGAGGGAGGCGGGGGGGGGGGTTGTGAGGGAGGCGGGGGGGTGGGGGGTTGTGAGGGAGGCGGGGGGTTGGGGGGGTGTGAGGGAGGCGGGGGGGGGGGTTGTGAGGGAGGCGGAGGGGGGGTTGTGAGGCGGGGGGGGGTGTGAGGGAGGCGGGGGGTGGGGGGTGTGAGGGAGGCGGGGAGGCGGGGGGTGGGGGGTGTGAGGGAGTGGGGGGGTGGGGGGGGGAGGGTGGGGGGGAGGGGGGGGGGCGGGGGGGGGGGGGGGGTGTGGGGGGGCGGGGGGCTGAGCGGAGCTGAGCGCGGGGTGTGGAGATGTGATGCTGACGCTGTGAGCGGAGTCGGAGTCGGTATCGGCGGCTGTGGCTGTGGGACCGGGACTCGGAGCGGACCCGGTTCAGGGGGAGATGATCCCGGAGCTGCTGCTGCTGCTGCTCGGGGCAGGTACGGCACTGGGGCTCCACCGGGAGGATCCGGGGATGGATCGTCAGAGCGGGAGAGGGTTTGCGGGTGTGAAGCGGCTCCCGGTGTCTGACACCCGCGGGGACCGAGTAAACCTCTCTCGGTGTCAGTACCGGAGCCCGTGTTTGTGCCACTGTGTGTGTGTCACTGTGTGTGAGGGGGTGTGAGGGTGTGTGTCACTGTGTGTGTGGGGGGGTGTGAGGGTGTGTGTCACTGTGTGTGTGGGGGGTGTGAAGGGGTGTGTGTCACTGTGTGTGAGGGTGTGTGTCACTGTGTGTGAGGGTGTGTGGGGGGGGTGTCACTGTGTGAGGGTGTGTGTCACTGTGTGTGAGGGGGTGTGTGAGGGTGTGTGTCACTATGTGTGAGGGTGTGTGTCACTGTGTGTGAGGGGGGTGTGTGTCACTATGTGTGAGGGTGTGTGTCACTATGTGTGAGGGGTGTGTGAGGGTGTGTGTCAATTTGTGTGAGGGGGGTGTGTGTCACTATGTGTGAGGGTGTGTGTCACTATGTGTGAGGGTGTGTCACTATGTGTGAGGGGGGGTGTGAGGGTGTGTGTCAATTTGTGTGAGGGTGTGTGTCACTATGTGTGAGGGTGTGTGTCACTATGTGTGAGGGTGTGTCACTATGTGTGAGGGGGGGTGTGAGGGTGTGTGTCACTATGTGTGAGGGTGTGTGTCACTATATGTGAGGGTGTGTGTCACTGTGTGTGAGGGTGTGTGTCACTGTGTGTGAGGGGGTGTGTCACTGTGTGTGAGGGTGTGTGTCACGTGTCACTGTGTGTGAGGGTGTGTGTCACTATGTGTGAGGGTATGTGTCACTGTCTGTCGGGAGCTGTTCATGTGTAGTTTTTCGGCGAAATGGTGTCAAAGCCGTCGGTATCTGATGATCGTGATGTGATTTACTGTGAATGTTGGTCAGAGCGGCGGGTCCTGTCCTGTCCTGTCCTGTTCTGCTCTGCTCTGTGGTCCGGGGTCTGGGTGGGGGGGTCCGGGGGGGAGAGAGAGAGAGACCGAAAGACCAAAGGGAGAAAAGGAGAAAGAGAGAGACAGGAGGGGAAAGGGGAGAGAGAGAGGGAGAGAAAAAGTAAGGTTAAAAAGTGAGCCCAGGGCGGGCGAGAGTCGGTCAGCAGCTCACTGAGTGTTTGGGAGAGAGAGGAAGACTTGAGAGGGGGGGGGGGGGAGAGAAAATACATTATAATAATAATAATTCTCGCATTTGATACAGCGTTTTTTCATGGGGGCGGGAGACCCCAGGAGACACAGGAGGGGTGGTGGGGGGGAGGAGAGAGACCCCAAGAAAAAGGGAGACACACAGGAGAGATTGAGGGGGGGGGGGAGAGAGACCCGAGGGGTCAGAGAGAGACACACAGGAGGAGGGGGGAGGGTGGGGAGAGAGAGAGATAGAGAGACCCTAAGAAAGAGAGAGATGCACACACAGGAGGAGAGAGGGAGTGGGGGGAGAGAGACCCCAGGGGACAGAAAGAGACACACACAGGAGGAGAGAGAGGGTGGGGGAGAGAGAGAGACTGGAGGGGGGAGAGAGAGAGAGACTGTGGGGGAGAGGGGGCGGTGGGGGGTGTAAGCAGTGTGGTGGAGCCTGGCCACAGTGACGGGGATTTGACCCGAGCGAGAGGAGCCGAGTGTTTGTGAAGATGAAACGGGATGATTGGGATCAGTGACTGAGTGACTGGATAAAGCACTGGGTGATGCCAGACATCTGCTCTCTCCCCCACCAATAAAGCGTCCTGTAATCTGCTAAACCCTGGCTCTAATCCGCTAATCCCCACAATCTGCTGCTCTCAGCCTCTCACAGCCCCCTCTCCCCCCCCGCCGCCCCCCTCTCCATACCCGGCAACTTGCCTCGGGGGCTTCACTTCTCCCCGCGCTTTCACATGTCACTTCGAATTAGTCCGTGTCCCATCATAGTGAATATTTATAACTCTCTCATCAGTGGCCGTTACACACCCTAAACCAACAAACTCAACAACATTCTCCTGGGCCCATCTGCAAAGCAGCGCTCTCTCAAATTGGTCCTGTCCGCAGATTTGTGTGCAAGTTCGGGTGTGCGTGTTCATATGCGCGTGTACGTGTGTGTTCTACATGTGTGCATGTCAGTGAGCAAAAGCAAAATAAATACCATACTAATATTCTGCAAGATTAGGGAAACAGGACAAGGCAGGATATTAAATGGGGATTTCTTTTTGAAAATTGATCTTGTTTCGCCATAATCGGAAACATCTTCAGGTTTTGGTGATTGCGAGAGATTTGTGTGCGTGACAAGAACAAAATAATATGTTGTTTTTAGTGGAGACGAGGAGAAAATATTTTTATCCAGAGAGTTGCTACGGTCTGGAGCGCACGGCCCGAAAGGCTGTGGAAGCCATTTGCTAATAGCTTTCAAAAGGGAATTGGATAGGGACTTAAAAAGGAATAATGTGCAGGGCTGTGGGGTAAAAGCAGGGGAGGGGGACTAGTTGGGGTAAGAGTGGGGAAGAGGGACTAGTTGGGGTAAGAGCAGGGGAGGGGGACTAGTTGGGGTAAGAGCGGGGAAGAGGGACTAGTTGGGGTAAGAGCAGGGGAGGGGGACTAGTTGGGGTAAGAGCGGGGGAGTGGGGTTAGTTGGAGTAAGAGCGGGGGAGTGGGGTTAGTTGGGGTAAGAGCGGGGGAGTGGGGTTAGTTGGGGTAAGAGCGGGGGAGTGGGTTAGTTGGGGTAAGAGCGGGGGAGTGGGGTTAGTTGGGGTAAGAGCGGGGGAGTGGGGTTAGTTGGGGTAAGAGCGGGGGAGTGGGGTTAGTTGGGGTAAGAGCGGGGAAGAGGGACTAGTTGGGGTAAGAGCAGGGGAGGGGGACTAGTTGGGGTAAGAGCGGGGGAGTGGGGTTAGTTGGGGTAAGAGCGGGGGAGTGGGGTTAGTTGGGGTAAGAGCGGGGGAGTGGGGTTAGTTGGGGTAAGAGCGGGGGAGTGGGGTTAGTTGGGGTAAGAGCGGGGGAGTGGGGTTAGTTGGGGTAAGAGCGGGGGAGTGGGGTTAGTTGGTAGACAGTACAGACACGATGGGCCAAATGACCTCCTTTTGTGCTGTAAGATTCTGTGATTCTATAAGACTGACCAGCGACTTCGGGGAGAGAAATGGTTTCAAACGCAAGTGAAACAATGCCGGCCGGCCTACTGTGTACCAGCGTGTATAAAATACACACCTGTAAATATTCACACTCGCGCACACTCAATCGCATGCACACACACGTACTCGCACGCACTCGCTCAGGATAACGGTGGTGGTGGTGGGAGGGGGACGTGGGGGGGTGGTGGAGATTGGTAGCGCGGACACAAGATGCATTTGATGAAAGGAAAGTCTCTGGTGAAGCCCACAGTGAATCATACAATCAAAGAATTTTACAGCAGTTGTTATATTCCCAGTCTGAGCACTGCACATCTCCGGGAGTCTGTGTTCTACATTTGTCAGTAATCACACAGCCTGACCCTCACAGACCCTAAACCCTCGTACACTCACCTGGAACAACAGACCCACACGCACACCCGCACGTGCACACCCATACACACACACCCGCACACACACCCATACACACACACGTGCACACACATGCACACAGGTGCACACAGACAGACAGACAGACACACACACACACACACACCACACGCGCGCACACACTCGTGCACGCGCACACGCGCGCACACGCAGACACGTACAAAGCGTCTAGATTTTCGTTATGCGTGTGTTTTTTTTGTACAAGGCGAGTGGCGGTGTTCAGTCAGAAATCACAGGCAATTTCTTGTGGGAATGAATTCACGTCCTTTGTGCAGCGTCGAGTTTACAGAGAAGCTAAAGCTACTAGCGCTGCTAATAACCTGACGGCGTTCCCGCTGGGTTCCCTCTTGTTTCTATTTATTTCAAAGATTCTCCTTATGATGATGATGATGATTGTTATTTGACTCTCAGCGTTACCCGAGCTGTGAATTGTTATTGATAATAACCGCGATTTGCCCAGACCCGACCATCAGTACCGTCTGCAGGGGTTTGTATGCAAACAGACTCTGTTATTTTGTCTGCCGGCAACCGCCATCCTTTATCAGCTCCTGTTGGAGAAATATATATTATTGCTTTTTTAAAAAAAAATTTATATTTATATTAAAAATCCTGTATTGCTCCTCGGGGCGAGGGGTGAGGGCAAAGTGTGGGGAGGGGAGCAGCAGTGTTTAAAATGAGCTCCTGTGTTGTTGCCCCAATAGTTTGGAAGGTGGGAGTGGGTGGGTGACTGACTGATGGGTATTTTTAAATCGCACTCAATCTCACAGGCAATTGCTGTCAAGTGTAGTGACTGAATTCGCTGCACAGAATACATTGCAATGTAATTGATTGATTGTCTATTTTGTGGGCGAAACGTGGCAGTCGACTAACAGGCGGGTTCCTACTTACTGCTAGGTAAACAGGCGCGTGTGTTTGTGGAGTAAGGAAACTTATCCAAGGTTTTGCTCCGCCCAGGAATTGAACCTGGGTCATTTCGCTTGCGAGGCGATTGTGCTAACCACTGAGCTACAGGACTCCAGTGTAGCGTATTGGTTAGTAACCCCGGCTTTCACAGCATTCCTTTATCCGGATTCAGGCTCTCCACGTTCTGTTGTCCATGCCCCGTCTCCATGCCCATGGGATGGCTGTGTTTCAGACGGTAACACCAGACTGTGCTGAGCCCACACTCGGCAAAAGCTACGAAAAAAACAATGACAAAAAAAACTAAATAGAGTTTTTCTTATTTTGGAATGAAGCCCTGAATTGAATAAATCCGTTCGCTCTGTGGCGAATGATGACATTTTATTCCCAAGGCGTAAATGTGATTGTACTTTGCCGGGGAGTTGAGGGGAAGGAAAGGAAGGAATTCACTGCGGGGAGAGGAGAGAATGAAAAGGAGACTGCTCTTAAGGGATTTGTGATTTAATGGAGTCACCGTGATTTTTTTTAAGGCAGCCGAGAGACT